ATAATCCTGTTATGTACAATAAAGTCATATAGGACTTGGTGGTCTTTTGGGACTTATTGACAGAGAGAAAGAGAAATTTCAATATTGACTATGCCATGCTCTTGACTTGTAACTGACATGTCTTGCAAATACACCCAACTCGATGCATATTTGTTACGCCTCCATGGTATCTTTTCAGAATTTCATCTGTATTTTGTATTAAGTGTAAAATTGATTTTTTTTCCTGTCTATAGTACATTGTAATTTAAACTCTTTGCAGTTTACACACGTGGTAGAGATAGAACTATAGTTTACCTGAGGCAAACCCCACCTGTGTGGGCAGGACAGGTACATGTTTCATCCTGACAGATGAGTCAGACAGGACATGACAAGGTGACTGACTGACTGGCCGCCACTCAACCATGGAACACCCAGGAAGGGCAAGGACCCTGGGGGGAAAGGGCAAAGGTCACATCATCATCATCAGGGCAATGGAGCGTAGGGGCTGGTTTTGTACATAATGTAGCAATTGTTTTTTTTTTTTAGTGCTTTAACAAGCGTGAGTTGTGCACTTTTAATCTCCAAGCAGATGTTTGGGTGGCCGCAAAAAAGACAGTATCAAATTTGGATGGCAAATGGATTCTGTCTGCCTAAGGGATACTGCCTGGCCTATTTGATACCGTCTTTTGCGGATACCCAAATATCTGCTTGGAGATTTTGGAGCACTTCAACAAGCAAGATGTATGGCTTGACTTCGGAAGAATCAAAATGTTGCTTTTGATTTTGATATATGGTTGTGTCTTCCAATCTTCTGTTCTAATACAACAGCATTTGCTAATTGATTAAGTTTTAGATTATCTTCCACATGTTGGATTCATTGTACTTGTTTCATGGCTGGAATTAACAAGTGCATCCTGTGACTGTTAGGGCCTCTGGGTTTTTATGTTTCCACGCCTGGCCCCCTAAGACATATTGGTACTGGTAGTGTTCCTTATGACTTGTACACCTGTATAGGTGCATGACCTACACTTGCCTCAAGAGATTTGCTCAGCAGAATAGGCAAGCACTAGGGAGAAGAAACCTTCAAATACAGCTGTCTCTTCACGTTTCCTGACTTCTTCAGTAATCCCCGGGCTCCAGACCCAGTAGATTTCAAGGATGTTGTCCAACCACAAGTGAACAAATACAGATCTCAGGTGGTCTGCACTCAGTCAATGGAACTCTTCATCATATGTCCCCCACAGGGCATCATGGTTGAAAGGGTAATTTGTTGCAAGGGACCATTTTTTTCTTACTGTAGGAGCTGACAAGTAAGCTGACTGATTATCTCAATAGTTTTACATACATGTAAGGAGATATATTCAGAATTTTTTCATCAGTTACTGTAAATCACTTTATATTCGCGGTAGCAAAATTTTGCGGTGGTCTCAGAGAAAAAATGACATGTTCGCGGAACTATATGCAAAAGAAGGAAAGTCGGGAATTACATGTTTGCGGTATTAAATGATAAATTCGCAGTACTGTAAATAGCTTCATAATCACGATAGCAAAACTTCACGGTCTGAGAAAAATGGACATGTTTGCAGAACTATTTGCAGAAGACAGAAAGTCGGCAAATTATATGTTTGCGGTATTGAATGATAAATTCACAGTACAGAAGTGACCACGAATATAAAGTGATTTACAGTATTCCAGATATCATATAGAAGATATCTATTTTTAGTCCAGCTTCATCAAAGTATCCTTTATTCTGTCAGCAAAAAGAATAGTCCCCAGCTGCATAAGAAATGCTGGGTAGGTCCAATTTTCAGCATGCCTGGACTGTACCTCCTGACACAGGTGTCAATAGGGAACACTTGGCTGGTTCTGGTGGGTTGTTGCTCCTGGACCCAGACAGATCAATTAGGTGTGGTGCAACCTTACACCTTATCACATCACCCCATCACTACTGCCAAGGTCATGGGCCACTCTTATGAATACCACAACGATATGTTAACATGTCAGAATTTTTAATGGTATGATTATGAAGTGTGGGAGCATTTTCTTTTGTTGAGGCCATGTTGATTTAATTATTTATGGATGACATACGCATGCATTAATTTTTGTCCATATAAAGCATCTGCAAAATGAGCAAATATATGTAAATTGGAAAAAAAATTGGAAAATGATACTATTGTTGCAGAATGCCAAATTCAATTCCAACGGAAAACAAGACAATGACTTTATTGTGAAGAAATGAAAATGAAGAGTCTATTTTTCGCCATACCATACTGTGTGTCATTTCTTCAACCTTCATGACAAACCATGTAAATTTTATCATGAAGGCAACTTTTTTTATGCCAATTTTTTTTTATTAGCTCATCCATATAATCCATACAATTTCAGACTGGTTTATAGGTCCTGCTAACCTAATAATTGATCTTATACAATGGTGATCTCTAGCCAGGTCTGTCCCAGTCATCCATGTACAAAACACCTGTTTATGGATTCAGAATTCAGACAGGCTTTTTACAGAAAACATAAATTTCCCAATCATTTTGTATGCAGTAAATCTTGTGATAGAATCTTTTGATAGAATTTTAGATTATCATTTATGAATAATCACACGGTTATCCCCTATACGAAACATCCCTGAAAGACATTAAAAGACAGTGTAGAAGGCTAAATCATAGCATAGGGGCTACTATGCTTAAACACCCTAGTGAGAACACTGATGCAAGAATGGCTTTTTAAAAAACTTTCAGAATGCTCAGACTCAGATCAACCCGAGATCACTCACTCACTTAGTCTGGCGTTGATCGACATCTAATCTTGCATTTTATGGTGTGGTCTTGATCCCCTTTTAGAGGATAAAAATAAACGGCAATGATGAAGCTTGACCTGGCGGGACCTCATTGCCCTCCTTTATTGGCCAGCCTGTAATTTAGCAGGTGTTCAGGACAGAAATTCTCATAACCTAGGATCAAATATACCTAGGAGTATAATTGCTGTTGATGACTAGAGGGCCATTAAGAGAGGTGAGGTGTTTGGGGTGTCGGTGTGAAGTATTGTAATCATCAGGTGAGTCAACCTGGTTTGACCCCTGCGTCTGCGTTAATGGCAGGTTACCGAGAAGGGCACCGAGTTTGGCAATTTCCGAGTTAATGCGCGAAAGTTCACCTGGTGATGATTGCATAATGCGGTGCCACGGCCTTTTCACTGTACGTACAGTCCCCTGCTTATTGATTGAGCTTGGCTTTCACTGCTGGAAATGGCACGTATTTGTTCGTATTATTATGAAAGTTCAAATGGTGCTAAAAGGTTGAAGGGTGATGACAATGACAAAGCAATGGTAGTATTATGATGTATTAACAGTCAATGTGATTGAAGTAGTCATTCAGCTTTGGAAATGGCAGTCTCCAAAGTCATTCTGTTAAATGGTTTAAACTATTTATGGCATAATTATAATCAGCCTCTTTTATTTGTCTTCAACAAAAGAAGTCAAACCCAGTAGTTTTTGACTAGTAGTTTCTTAGTAGTTATCAGTAGTTCTATGTGTACTAATTGTTTTTTATACCAAATGTTTCTTCTGTTCCTGCAATTACCCCTTGGCATGAATTTGCAATAAAACATTATTTTATCATCTATTGCAAGTGCAGTCTAGTAACATGGTAAGTAATAACACATCTATGAAATTTTGAAATACAAGAAGCAACAAATCCCAAAGAGGAAGGCATGATAGACCAGATAAAAGATGAATTACCCTGTTTTTATTCATTCATAGCTTTTTATGACCTCTGTACCCTGGAATATACAAGCATGGTTGAGGCCTAAGCTATAAAATCTCCCATACATCCTTCAGTTAAGGGCATGGCATTGCATATAGTCAGACTATGGGAATAAACTGTTTTATGTCCAATACTACATCAGTTGCAGATTGTTTTTTAAAACAATTAAGGCCACACCAATTTATTTTCTTGGTTAACGGATTCGCCGCTTCATTTTTTTCCTGACTTGCAAATAAAAATAAAAATCCAGAATCAACAGCAAAATGCTCATATTTTGCCCTGAACAGTTGAAAACAGACCTTTTCATCCTAGTTGTTACAGTTATTCCATCTTTCAATGCAATGGTATCATTAAAAGTTCAAATTCATTGTTTAAATTTTGGACCAGCCTGGTGTGTTGACTTCATGGCTCCAATCGTACCATTTTGGGCCATAACACGATGCCTAGGCCTGTTTTTATTTTTTTTTTTTTCGCCCGCCCGCTACACTATTTTTCTAGAAAAATCCGTTAACCAAGAAATTAAATTGGTATGGCCTAAAAACTTTTTTTTAAAACTTAAAAGTGAGCATTCCAAACATGAGAAATATTTTGCAGTTTTCTTACAGTTTCAGTTTGAGAGTATTATTCTAAAACAGTATCATGGTTTCTTTTGTGTTTCTCGGTCAACAAGTTTCACTTCTTCATTTTTACACAATTACTCAGGAGGCAAGTTCAAACCTGACATCTGGATAGTTTCGGGTGTTTATAATGCTGAAAGTGTCATCATAGGAGATTCCACTAATCATAATTATAACCTTTGTCTATCTATGATAAGCTTTGAGTGAGAGTGCAGATAAATATCATAACCTTACTGTATGAAAAGTGCATAATTCATTTGCAATTATAAACATGGCAGAGTTTGATTGGTCGCACTATGGTTATTTATTTATTTATTTATTAATTCATTAAACTTCTCAAAATGGAGGTGGTGACAAAACAGGTGGCAACTTCTGTTAGTTTTCTCCCCTGCAAGGTGAAAATGAAAGTCATTGAATGACTAACCTTGCAATATTGACTTTGTGATAGACTACCGTACAATGTGAAACGTTGGGACTTTCTACACGAGTAGGTGTTTTGACTATGACATCACTTCCTGTATACATAGAACGATATTCAGTCATTTGGGTGTGGACATACTGTTGGCACACAGAACCACATGCACATGACCCCGTAGCACAAGTGTAATCGTCCCAATCTCTTTTCTTCCTTGTACAGATCCTGGCTGTGAGTTGTTTCCTGTATCCAGTCCAGGCTTTTCTTCATTGACTTTAGAAGGAAGAAGTCTGCAATCAGGAGACTTACAGCTATAAGGAAAGATCAACCCTCAGGTGAGAAAGTATCTAGTATTACCGTACAGTACTTTTGGTTTTGTTGTCCCTTGACTTGGAAAGAGAAAAGTTTTATTTTATTAACTTCATATAGCATTAGCAGTTGGACTGCCAATGGTAGAGAGAATAGTGTCAGTGTACACTGAGGAAAGAATTAACCTTGAATAGAGTTCTTTATTGCAAGTTCATGCCTGAGGGCTAATCGCAAACAGACATTGACAAGAACAATGAGTACAGAATGTAGTGGTATAAAACTATATGCTGACATGAAGTTATAACTTCTCCACATTTCTATGATAATCTATCTCTAATGGTAACTATAGCTTCTAGGAGTTTCATAGTCCTCTGTTGTAGGAAGGAAAATGTCAAGTATCACCTGAGTGTTCTTGTGCTAGGATTTTGACATTCATATGGAATCATGAACATTACTAGCTGCAAACTTCCTGATAATTTAGTCTCATAGTATGCAGAAACTTGTGGTTAAGTCATGATTTCTTCCTTGTTGAAGAGGAAGTTGTTAGACAAAATCGTTGTCTGTGTTATTTTTGGAAATCACGTCAACTTGGAAATGTTGGAAAGACATTATACAGCAAGTCTGCATTACAGCTAATGGACTGGAACTGCTGACTAGCTGGGTCCCCTCTTGTAGATTCCAGCATTTCATCAGCAACATTAAATCTTGAGGCACCCACACAATCTTCCCATGTGACCTTGGGGTGAACTTGAGTAGGTTGGCAAGTTTCCAACAAGTGTCCTGGTACAGCAAGGGAAGCTGTTAATGTTACATGGACCATGTCTGCATGTAATAATCATCCTACTATTCAACATGCAGTGGTGAATTCATGAAGTACGAGGGGTGATCAAAAAGTTCTCGGCCTCACCTAGAAAATAAAGGTCAAACTCCTATTCTTTGGTATGACTGTATACTATGACGTCTTACATCACTGCACACAAGAATTCAATTTTTTTTATTCATTAATGAGCACGTGACGCCCCGTGAAAATGGGGTGGGTGAGGGCAAATCACAAAATGGCCGCAAAAGAAGGGTGTGTTCTGATCAAGTGTATCGATAAAAAAGGATGTCTCCTAAGGACATCCATGAAGACATGGTGAAGACACTTGGTGACGACTCCCCTTCTTATTTAAATATAAAGAATGGGGTTACTAGCTACAAGCGCGGCAAGGAGAGCACAAAAGATGAACATAGGTCAGGATGCCATAAATCAGCACCACGGACAATCCAGTTGAGGCCATCCATCACATGGTAGTGAATGACAGATGTGAGACTGGCCAACATGTAGCAGGTTCTTTGGCCTGTGTTATGACTCAGTTCACAATGTTTTGTCGAACAACCTGGGGATGAACAAACTGTCTGCATGGTGGGTGCCTCGAATGTTTTCTGAACATCAGAAGTTAAACAGGCTGGACATTTCAAGGAACGAATTCAGTCCAATCCATGCAATGTCCTCAAAACATTTGTCACCCAAGATGAGCTGGGTTCACCACTTTCACCCCGAAATAAAACAACAGAGCAAACAATTGACGAAGAATTTTTCCCGGCCCCCCAAAGAAGTTTTAGCGAGTTTCGTCCGTTGACAGGTTTTTGCCTCTGTTTTCTGGGGCAGCAAGGTAGTAATCATGATTGACTACCTGCGAAGGGGTTAAAGCATCAATGGGGAGTACTATAAAACAGAATTACGACATTTGAGGGCAACGATCAAAGAGAAAAGGAGAGGAAAGTTCCGAGCTGGCGTGCTGACAATGCACCTGTTCACACAGCACAGGGGTCAGTGACAGCAGCAAACGAATTTGGGTTTGCAGTCTAACCCCACCCTTCCAAATCACCTGACCTAGCACCCTTGGACTTCTACCTATTTCCTAAACTCAAGTTCCACTTACGTGGTCAACGTTTTGATGGTAATGATGACGTCATCTATGCGGTATAGGCCTATCTGGGGGCTCCAGATGTAACCTTCTTCCACAAGGGGAAAACAAAACTGGAACATCACTGGACCAAGTGCATTGCAGTTAGAGAGGACTATATTAAAAAGTAGTGTGAGAAAAATTTTACTGCCCTGACGTTTTCTCGGTGAGGCCGAGAACTTTTTGATCACCCCTCGTACACTACTACAGTTATGGTCTACCAGGTATCAGAAGCAGCTTGAAACTGAAAGCTTCTAAGACCCTGTTCACACTCCAAAAAGTTATTCGAATAACAGAGCGATTCAAATTCGGGCAAAATCTAAGTGATTTGGAGCATTCACACTCCAAAAAATGATGATCCAAAGAGCGTTCATACTCCAAAATATGATGATCCCGATAGACAATTTTCTATTCAAATCGCCCTGTTATTCGAATAACTTTTTGTAGTGTGAACGGGGTCTAAATTGGCCAAAGAAAAAGTCTCATAATATGCCGGGGGTGTGGCAAACTACAATGTATACTCTCCTTTAGCATACTTACTCCCCTGGCATGTTATCTTTTTATTTGTCCAATTTCTACTCTTTCTAGCCACTTGTGAAGCCTGGTAGAGACTAGCTACCACTATATATTGGCTAACGTATGGACTTCCACGTTTCTTTGTTTATAACAACACTGACAGTTTTCTTTAGCTTTACCGAAAAAGAATATATTATCTCCCATACTGTCAGGCAGTGGGGTTTCCATAAACAGGCAATTAAGATTGTATAGGGAAAGAATAAATACCTGTCTTCCTCCATAAAACAAGTAGATGCATGCACTGCCACCCTGGAGAGTATCATCAGCACTTTGGTCTCTAAGGTATGTCATGACAACTGACAAGTTTGGACAGGTACTAAGCAGCAATTATGTGCTATTTTTATGGTCATGACATACCACTCAAGGTAGGAACTTGAACAAAGGCGGACTGAATCCAAAACATATCCTTTGTGAAATTTTTGTTTATTCAACATCCAACACACCCATAATCATATCTCTCTTACAATGAGTCGGGTTGTCATAGCAGAGGCCCTCAGAAAATACAAATAATACGTACATAGGAGTTACTAGGAGACAGCATGAAGAAATATTTAAACTGAAGCAAATATATTTGTTGAAATAACTACAAAACTTCCCGATAGAATAAGGTTGTCAATATGGCATTCAAGCTACAGAATAGTAAAAAACATTAAATTTTGTACATTATGACCCCTCTCTGACAAAAACCTGGCAGTACGAAAACTGTGTATTTACGCGAGCATACCAAAACTGCACACATCGATATGTCAATCATCCCGCTTTGATGTTTGTCGAGACTTACACATTCATATAATACGCCAGTCCTCACAGTAAAATACAATCTGAACATACGTTCTTGATGTATGCCAAAGCAGGCTGATTTACACACAGAAAAAAATTGATACTGTAATTCCTGATTTTTTTTCTCTGTACTGTAATGTTCACTGTTTTCACTGTCACTTCTGTACTGTGAACTTATCATTATACTTATAGTTAACAAATAATTCCTGGCCTTTCTTTTTCCTGCACCTGTCGTCACCGTGACTATAATAAAATATAGTTCTGTGAGCATGTCCGTTTTTTTCAGACCGTGAACTTTTGCTACCGTGAACATAAAGTGAATTACATTGTGCAGTTATCATGCTCAAGTGCGTACACAGTTTTCGTACAGTCAGGTTTTTGCCTGTGTAAACCTGGTCTACTCACTCAGGTCTACAGGGAGTAATTGCTGAAATAGCTGATGCACCAGGTGTCTGCCCTCCCTAAGGTTGAAATGTTTACTAACAATGGGGGGGTTCAAGAGTCTTCCACAGAAAGCCAGCATACCCTGCACTCAGCCAAGTGGTGGTGATGAGAGATTCTGTCCCGGGGTTTAAACAATATTAGGTGGTCCATCCTGTCTGTGACAGGCTACTCCAAGAGCACTTCTGGGAGCACCATAGCCTCTACCAGGCTTCAGAAGCGGCTGAAAGGAGAAGAAATTGGCTAAATAGACTGGGTAGTGGTCTAAATACCGTTTGCAGTTTGTGTTCCTTTCGTGGTCAATATTGTGGACCAACTCTACAGGCATGTTATCTATCTATTTGGCTTATTTCTTGTCAACCGCTTCTGAAGCCTTGTAGAGGCTAGGTACCAGGCTAGGAGTAGAGGCTAGGAGTCGTGACAATGTGATTGCAGACATATTTCTGGGTAAAGGATACCTTCAGTATACACAATGTGTAGAGAAAGGAAACGATTAGAAGCTTTTACTTCCTTCTCCAATTTGTCTACTCATATTAATAACAAACATTTTCCAAGTGCTATATTTGATTTTTCACCTAGTATTTTAAACATTCTGTTTGTCTGTCTGTCTGTCTGTCTGTTTGTTTGTTTGTTTGTTTGAACCATTGTTTATCTATGAGAAGCTCAAATTGGCCTGCAGGCCACTTTTCATTGAGGTCATGAGGGAAGAGGTAAGGGTCAGACATAATATACAACAAAGATACAGTTAGTGATGATCACCCTGTGGTATATTTAGTGTAATGGGCAATGATGGGACAAACAGAAATATCCGTTGCTCTAGGCAACTTAAAGCCAGGCATGCTGCCAAATACGTTCACCCCCCTCTAGGACCCACAAATTGTCAATAAACATGCAACAAGTGGCAGACTTAAATGGTACCTGGCATAGCTTGCGAAATGAAAGGGTCATTCCTTTTTTTTTTACAGTCGATGAAAACCAGGGGTAAGTGCCAATTCCCACGGTGTGAGTATTGTCGTGTGTGTAGTTATCCATGGAGACATAAGCGCTTCTCTGATCTGTGCAGTTTCGATAAGCTGGGGATAACGTAGTGTTTCCTGGAGATACGGCATCTTTGAAACTCGGCGGTTTGCAGATGTGAGTCAGCGATAGAAGTCAGGCTGCGGTTTAGAAAGGTTGCCGGAGGGTACAAATGTGTGAGTAGGCTGCGAATAGGCAGGATTTCAAAGAGCAAGGTCAGCACGATGGTGCCAGCTTAAGATTCAAGGGAAATAACAAAGGTT